CAGGAACCTTCAAATTCACAAAACCTGCTTACACGGGAATATTTTGATCTCTTCCAAAGATATTCATATGCAGCTTGACTAAGTAAATCTCCATGTTTACCACTGACCAAATAGAGGAAAACACTGCTAAAGCCCCCTTCATGATCAGGCATTACCCAACTCTTCCAAAGGTTTATGCTGTGTTTTCTGCAAGAGTTTATCCACCCACTCAGCCAGCCAGCATGCCTAGTCCCTTGCTGTTGCAGTCAGTCACATCATAAACTGATCAAGTGCTATTTTAAAACTAAATAAGCTTTTTGGACTATGTTTTCAAAATTTGGGAGTGGGCCACTCTTCCATTCAAACTAATTTGGGTAAAAATGAAAAAAATCACTCATAAAGAGGGTTTCTGACTACATCTTTTTCCGTCAGAGGTTCTTGTTTTCCGCTCCAACCCACATCATCTATTCTCTTCCTTCCACCCATTCTTCTCCCCCCCAAAAAAGGCTGGCTTGGACTGTGCTTCAATTTTCTGCAGAACTTTCTATTTTTCTTTCCCATTCTTTTTGTTTAGTATATGAAAGCAGCTTCCTGTTTAGAAACATGGAAGTCCTACACCCTCAGTAATGATGTATTCAGCCCATCAATGATTTTGGCATGAACGCCAAACCTTAATAAGCCTGATGGGATTTTCTGTACATGTCATCATCAGTCCAAAAAACAATGCACAACGTTTGTCATCTTGCACTGAATCAGCTCCCTTTCCAATGCTACAGTTCTAATAAGAATTCTAAGGGCTCACAAGCTTCCTTCTCTTAAATATTTCATATTATAGATTTCCAATGCCTGTAGAGCAAGAACAGAAGCACCAGGAGGAGACAGTGCTGTTGCAGAACTCCCAGCACAATCAATACTGTTCTGCTTTTCAGCTCCGAGTTGCTGCAGCAGTCTGCCATTGCTTACACAGCTCTAGCCTCACTGTAACCTATGATCCAAATCCTGGGCTCGTCCTGTACTGGAGAATAGGAATGAAACACATAATATAACACCTGTTCCACTTTGAAAAACAACCCCCCTGAACCCTACATGGCCTAGAACAAAATTCTGTCTTATTCAAATACACAGACTGGATCAAAGTCTATTTCTCTGGGTTCAAAACAAGTCAGCAGCATTGGTGACTTGACATAAACTGAAATATTTGTCACTTCAAGAGTTTAACGTAAAAACATTCACAAGTGTGGGCTGTTCCCCCTGCTGAGCTTGAACTGCAGTGAAGTTCTCCAGGGAGGTTATTGGACAGCCATACAACTAGCACTTGAAACACTGGGTGCAGAGGCAGCTCCGTATACCACACACAACATGCTGTGCTGCAAGCAGTGCTCAGCAGCAAAGTGGTTAACCACAATTTATTCCATACAGCATAATTGTTCAGCTAATGCTACTAGCAAAGCTGCTGCTCTCAAGTTTGTGCATTTTCAAATCTGACAATGCAAGGCACACAATGTTTTACTTTAACTCTTTTGGGGGCTTGGTCTGTGCCTACACAAACATCAAAACATATTTTGATCTTTACTTACGGGTGAGCAGCAGAGTTAATTAAAACTGTCAGCAAGTGCCATCCTAATTAAAAACAAATGACTAATTGTACAAGTACAGGGCCTGTTGACACAGGCTGCATAAGTCCATCAGGCACAGCCAACCAAGCTTGAATATGAGGGCGTGCAGCACCATCTAGTGTCCTACTGGAGTTAGAGACTCAAAAATCGGTTCCAAATGAGTCCACACAATTTTCCCAGGCAGCTGTCACTCTCATAAAAGCAGTAAGACACCAGAGGTCCAACTATACTGCTACTTCTGAAAAAGGCAGTTACATAATAAAAATCTGTTTAATAAAAGAGCTGCTGAGAGTCAAATGTTTGCAGGCAGAACAAAAATTCTTTAAAGACAGAAGATTGAGAAATTACTCTGCCACCTATCAAAAGAGTGGAGTCCAAAGGATAAAAACTACCAGAAGGCTACTAAAAAGACTACTACTGCCTATAAAAAGCTACTAAAAAACGGCAAGCATCATGAAGCTGAGTAATATTTTAAAAATATGGCAGGCTGAAAATATAAGACTATACAAAAAGGCATTTGAGACATCAAGAAATTAGAGAAAAGTTAACAATAAATTCTTTCAAATACAGAAGCAGAAATCTTAACAGAGGGTTAGTACAGCCAACAGATTATCAAAGAATAGAAATAGTATGAAAGAGACAAGACTGCTGAAAAGCTTTTTTTTTTTTTAATCCAGACTCATCATAGATGATCTTAGGCTAGCTCCCACTCTGCAGAGCTCATTTCAAATTGGGAGAGTCAATAGAAGATTCCACTGGAAATTTCAGCAACAAACAATAATAGATTTTTGTAATCAAACAGTGAATACCCAAGAAATCAATCAGATAGTAACTGAGCTAGCAGCCACCATGCATAATCTCTCACTTAAAACTTCAAAAGAACCAAAAGGTGACAAATGAGACAATTTTTTAAAAAGACAGGGATTTGCGTGAGCTGACCCCTTCCAACTGTGCTGATACTCTGTAATATAGAAATACTGGATGTAAATGTGTTATGCTGGCAAACATGGCTCAAGTAAAGGAAATGTAGATCTATTATCAGTCTCAGAGAACCTAACAAGTGTTACTAGCAGCTTTGAGTTCCAAAATTTATCAAGGTAGAAGTTCCTGATGTATCAACACTGTGTATCATGTCAGTCCTCCAATAGAAAAATTATGTAGTACAGAAAGGAATGGAACAGCTTTCAACAAAAATGATTAAGCAGAAAATCACTTTTCAACCTGGAAAAAAGAAAATTGGTGGACAATTAGAAGTAATAATTGGATAATAATAACAGAAGGGCAAATGTATACTCTGCTATCTCTGACCACCACCAGGCCAGCATTGTCTGGCAACACACGTAGAAGTGACAGACAGCAAGTTCAAACCCAAGCCCAGAAGAGAAGTATTTCTTTCAGAGAACACAGGCTCAGCCTGGGACATACCGTAACATTGCATAGCAAGCAGCTTACCAGACTCCTAAAAGGGTGTAAACTAATTGAAACATACTCTCTTCTTTTCCTAGATGTGCAGATCCCTGGAAACTGCAGAACTCACACCGTGTTCACCTATTCTTACTCTCCCCCGAAGCATTTATTTTGGCCTCCTAGAGGAGATAAGAGACTAAAAAGGATCTCAGTGCACTCATCCTTGTACCCCTTCCAGAAGAGAAGCAGCTGTAGCACCACAGCTTGCTTCCAGCATTGAGGGTTGTGCAGGCATGGAACAGGAGTTGCTGCTTGCCAAGCTAACTCTTGCAGAGCCAGCATGCTGGGAAGGGATGAGAGGGGAATAACAGGAAAATGTTGTAACCCTAGCCCAGGCCAGCTTCAAGTAAGGATGGTAATAGTGAGGGAAGTTTGCTACAAAGTCATGGCATACCTGTTCATTCAAATAATGTTAGAGTAATAAGTTGTACAGATGTTTTCTTCTTTCATTTACACAAAAGGGACCTATGTGTGAAAACAGCATCTTGCACAGGCTCGAGATAAATTTTTGCACATCTGTACAAGTGGAGCCATTTGTTCTAAAACAAAGTGCAAAGAATATGGTAGCAAGTCTCAAAATCATTAAAAATTTCAGACTATAATGCCCACTAACATACTTAATTCTCAGGAACAGCATCACTACTTCAGCTATCACTCCTATTGTCCTCATGCTAGAGGACATTGAAGGATAACAACAGACTAGAGGTGCCACCTAGAAGCCAGATCAGATTTTGCATCAGTCTGTGCTTTCCTTATCTCAAAGAGCATGAAGTATACACACTCAGATGATTAGTGTATATTTTTATTGAAAAAAAAGTTCCTTTAAGAAGAGTCTGGCTTGGAGCCTACCAAGGCAGACCTTGCATTCCTCACCACTGCCACAAGCTATGGACATGATAAATTATGAAGATTTTAACTGTAGGAGAAAGAGCTAGAGCAAGGTGCTTTTGTTAACCCTACAGAGCATGCTTAAGCAGCTAGATAAATTAAGTTCAGTAAGTCACACATCAAGCTTTGTGGAAAATATCTCAGTGTAGACCTACATTTCTCGTATGTCTTTTAAACATAAAACATTTCATAGCATAAGTGCCTTTTTTCATACAAGGAGAATAAATTGCAGACAGGGTGGGCTTCAGAAAGTTTATATAAAAAAAATTGCTTTGTTCAGAGTTGTAGTGCACTTTTCACTGCAGATAACTAATGAGCTGCTTAGGCATTCAGCAAATTTAATGTATTCAAGAACTGAAACAGGCTACAGACAGTGGGAAAAGAATGCATGAAGCAGGCAACCAGCAGCATGTGAGGCAACAACCTGCCCTTTGCCTCTCCAACCCTAGCTCTGTTAAAGACAATAAGAAAATCTGAAAACATTGTAAAGAAGTGATCTTCATGTATCTTAAGTGGAAGATGCATATATATCTATTTCCCTGCTACAAGGACAAGCATCAAGAATCTGAACACAGATTATAGCACCATGGATTCATGCAATATTGCCTTCTCAAACACCAGCCTGCAAGACTCGGGTATTAGTAACGACAGAAAATAACGCAACTCACACAAAAGTTACTATTTTCTCAAGCATGTGAGTTTACCTGCTACAACTTAACATAGCACTCCCTCTATGGGAGGACCTGAGAATCATGCCTTCAACATAAAACCATGACAAGTCAAATCTGAAGAATAAACCAAATTTATTTAAAATAAAATATTAAGACAGTGCTATTGTCAAGAAACAAAGGATTCTTTTACTCATGTGACAAAACATCCAATTTACAGAAGTTACATTAATTCTGAGAAATCCACATTGCCTTCATGCTGCTTCAGCTGACTACATGTACCTTCCGCTAGACAAGCCGGTTCCCTTCCCTCCCCTTCCCCAAAGAACAAACAAAAACATCCTATAAGAAACATGTACAGAATTCTGAGACACATGATCAAAATATAAACCATTGTCCAAAAAGCCTGAAATTTTCCAGCAAGGTTAAATCCTTTGTTGCTTCAGCCAACCCTCAGCGGGGGAGCTACAAGCACAACGCCGTCACCTCTGACAAAGAGCATGGGAATGTTCCTTTTGGTAGACTATGAAGAAGGACAGAGAAGTTTCCATTAACAAAAGCATAGTTACAAAACATGTCTGCTAAGCATAGAACCAAATTCAATCCTAACAGCAGGAACAATTCCAACAAATTAAGCTCAAACATAAAACGTTCTGGCATGCTGCAGAGACCAACACAACCAACCCCAAGTCTTTGGAAATCCCTTGTACTTTCATAATAATTTCCCGCAAACTTCTGTTAGATCTTGGTTCAAAAAGGAATCAGCAATAAACTGCTTTAAGAATATAACAGTTCAGTTGTAAAAAGGTTTTCTATGGGGATAAATACACTAAGTCCTTACTTTATAAATCTCTTCATAGGTTTCTTCATCAATCTCTATTGTAGTTACAGTTTCTTCCACATCACCCAAAATCATATTTAAATGTTGATCATATGCCTGTAGGAAAAAAGTTAGTTTATAATTTCTTCCAAAATTCAAACAGGATCTTATTAAAAGAAGAATTTTAGCAAGACTTTTAGACACAGTTTAGCTTGAGTTTGATCAAAATATGCCAACATGTCAAAACAAAGTAGTATCACTTATAGCTGTAATTCCAAGCAAATAACAAACTTGTAGTCCGCAGCTTAAAAATAAGTGAAGGCATTTGTATTTACTGGCATGCTCTTCTGGGAAACAGTTCTGAAGCATTCAGTGAGAACACATACAAGACCTCAGAGACAGGCCCACTCTTAACACTAAACCTCGGCTGAATATGCCACTATGTCAAAACAATTATAGCTGTAATTCCAAGCAAATGACAACAAACTTGTAGTCTGCAGCTTAAAAATAAGTGAAGGCATTTGTATTTACTGGCATGCTCTTCTGGGAAACAGTTCTGAAGCATTCAGTGAGAACACATACAAGACCTCAGAGACAGGCACACTCTTAACACTAAACCTCGGCTGCCAGTCCAGCCTCCTGGAATTGATTGCCTGGGGCCAACTTGAAGAAAATGAAAGCTGGAATTCATACAATGCTACAAAAATTTAAAATAAGTTTATGTTCCAAAAACCTTAAAAAGCATGTTCCAAACTACATGTGTGCCTCATGGATCTCCCCTCACTGTTGTGTTCCTAAAAGAGTTGAGGCCCAGTTAACACATGGGGCAACTTGTTCTTTTTCCCCATCCAGGGGAAGGATGACTTACAACACAAAGCAAATATCTGTCTTGTCAAGAGACAAATTACTTCCAGAAGAAAACACTTAGACAAATGAAATTTGCAGAGAATCCATCTGAGTATATATCCTATTATACCCTTATGGGATGTGCCCTAGGAGATACTCATTTGATAAGGATTATCTCATTCTTAATTCAGTCTTAAAGAGACCTCAGGGTACTAAACAAGAAGAGGTCTGCAAGCATTATTGATTATTTCACAGACACAGAAATGGAAGCAAAAAGCAGTGGAATGAATTGCTTGGCATTGGTCAGGAGAAAAGAGAAAAAATCATAACTTGAGTCTCTAGAGTAGTACTTAATAGCAGACAGTAGAGAAGAAATTAGATTTTTTCCACTGATCACATTACACTTTTGATAAGAGGTTCAGTTCTTGTTGCGATGATGATCTTTAACCTACCTCCTCTAACTTCAACTATTTTTGGTTTTAAACAGATTTTTTCTAAACAATGGAAAAATCACAGGTAAGCTCATGTAATAGGCTATTGTACATGAAAAAAAGGCCATCCAGTGCTCACCTGAGTAAACACAGTGGTGTTCTGAAAGTTTTACTTACATGTAGCCTGCCTCTAAGCTCTCTGTCATTCCTCATTTTGACATAGATTCGTTCATCTAGACTGAGTCTGATGAGATCAAGTGGCTCCTCTACAGTATTTGTCGTTTGTTGCTAAAATAAAAACAAAAGTATTATTTGTACAGAAGAAGCCCAAGAACTTTTCTGCTCCTCCGTGTTTGTGACACATGGAAAACAAACAGGCAAGAACACAGATGCATGCATCACAAATCATTCCTTGACATCCCATTCAACCTGAGTGCAGCTGATATAACCACTCTACAGATGTTCACCAGCCTGAGAAAAAGGAGTTAGAAGACTTCAGTTTAGCTTGCAGCCAATGCCACCTCACACATATTGCTATATGAACTATATTCCTTACCAGCAGCCATGGTTGGTACTGCGGCTGCAAGCCTGCTGTGCGTGAACCAGCACCGCACCTCTGCCACCACACGGCACGCCCAGAAACACCAACCGCACACCCACACCTCCCGCAGCACACCCCAGAGAGCCGGTAACACCGCCCCGAGCACGCACCTCTGCCCGAGGCCTGGCCCTACGCTGCTCTCATGCCTGGCCTCAAAGCACGACAGAAACCTCAACACTGTTAGAGACCTGAACAGCACACGGGGCTGAGGTCTCTTTTTTTGTGATAAAGATGTACTCTTCGGATCACGGCTAAAACGTGGGAACACCCTTGCGCACGTCCTGCAGCATGTTTCCTTCTCAGCGAGGCAGAGCCAAGGGCATTTTCCTCAGTACCTTTCCTCCGTTTCCCTGGGGGTCCGGCAGCTCCTGGGAAGCGGGCCCGAAGCTCCCCACAAGCCCGGCGGCGGCACAAGGACGGAGGCCGCTTCATACCGCAGAGGAAACGCTCCCCCGGGGGGCTGCGCCGGACGGGGGCTCT